GTGAACAGGAAAAATTATTGGGATATGGTTCACATGTAAGTAAAAAATCTCAAATCATTAAAAAATCTGAATGAGATGTCTTATATATGCATAAAGGACCTAAAAACCTAATAGCTTAAGTTTTTGAACTCAAGTAGTATCTAACATGTATGAATGAGTTCTCTGATGTGCTCTCATGAGCTCCAAATATGATTTATCTTCCTAATAGTAAGGTACCAAAAAGACAGAAATGGAAAGGAACTCATGAAAAGTCAGGAAAAACTAATAACTGAGCAAAACAACTCTCTGTAAACAGGCATACTAATTTTTATGGTCCAATTCCATTAATTTCTTTTTGTTTCTTTGATTTCAAAAGAAAATATCTTCACTTTTCAAACAATAATTGACTCGGTAAAAGCGACTTTCAAACTCATATTTATATATAATTCAACATATAATAACATTTAAATTATATATCTTCTTATATAACCGACCCTTACACCCCAAATTAAAAGAAGTTTCATGGGTCGTACTAAGTCTATCGATTGATCAATCTAAAATAAAGTTAGTTAGATTCTTTGATTTAGGAAAAAAAAAAATTTGTCTTTACTTTTCAAGCTACAATTTATCTCTATCGTTCATGATTTTGAAACTTGAATAATGCCATTATGCCAAGAATGTGGTGATGCTGAAATTGAAGGTTTATGCAATTCATTTTGGCATTTTTCCCCTCAACCAATTAAGAATGGGATTTACTGCCCGCCGAAGGTAACTGCTCAAGATACGTTGTTGAAATAATTCAGGTGCTATAGTATACAAGGACAGTGAATATATATATTCTCCAGTTTCATCTCATGGTCATCAAGGAATTGATGCTGAAATTTCAAGGTCAAGTTGCTACGTTTAATTGTTGGCAGCTAATGATCCATTGCTTTCATAGTGGCTAGTTGTTCTTTTTAATTTTTTTTTTTTTTTGCTGTATTGTACTAATTTATGTAGGCGGTATGTTGTCATGGCCACTTGCTATTTAGATAAGTTTAATGTTTACGGAGACATCAATTCCAAAGCCCAGCTACTGTATCCCCATCATAGCATACCATTATTTCACATGACACAACTTTATCCAAACAAAAATTAAGGCAAAATTATTACTAACATATATTAAGAGTCACGAATTCGAATGTACCAAAAAGTTTTGTTAAGACCTAAGAGGAAAAAAAAGTTCAAAATTCATGAATATTATTTATTGCAAAAAGAATTTATTTGAGAAGAGGTTTTTTTTTTTTTTTTTTGAAAAAGTAAGTACTTTGCATGTGTTTGATAAATTATTGAAAATTTTAAAATCAATCAAATTTTAATTTTAATGGATTTTAATTTTTTCAATACATTTGATAATTCATTTTTTAAAGTTCACTTAATGAAAGGTTTTTAATGTTGAAAATTAATGTTAAGTAGCTTTTAACTATGTGGATTTGTTCAATTTATCGGACAATATTGACCTTTAAATTTTGTTTTAGGTGTATAAATGAGAAACCCAAAAACATTTTCCTTCACTTACGTTACAAATCAGTGATTCTTTTCAGTTTTTCTAGCTTTTACTATGTTTCTTATCACTGTATGTTACAAACCCAAAAAAAAATCACACTTCCACCTTCGTACTAACCTCAATGGACAACATAAGGACAGGCCCAAGCTAAAGACCACCCGAATCCATTATATCAAACAGATTGATTTTTTTATCATTTTGGCCCAAAATCGTCTTTCTCAAGTTGAGTATGGGTTTAAGATTAAACATTAAGAGGCGTTTCGCATGTTACTTACTACCCTTGGAGTTGCAGCTAGGAGAAAAAGAAAAAAATTGAAAAAATCAAAAATCGATTTAATATCTTAATGTTTGATATAGTTTTGATCAATTTATTTATTTGATTTGGATCACAATCAAATATTAAATATATATTAAATTCGAATCTAATTTCGAATCAAGATATAAAAAATTAGAAAAAAATTAAACCGAATAAATTATATTTTTTATTAGTTTTATATATTTTTTAATTTTATAAAATAAAAAAATTATTATATATAAATTTATTTAAATATACTAAAAATCTTATTAAAATAATATATAAAAATAAAAAAAATTTAAAATTTAAAAATCAAATCGAATCAATAAAATTCAATTCGGATTGAATCGATTTTTTTTATATCAAATTTTAAATATTCATAATAATATGTATTATTTAAAAATTTTAAATCGAATCTAATCTAAGCTGTTATCGACTTTTATTAAGGATTTAGCCATGCCTTTGTTGAAGCATATGTGGTATGATAACTGGCATCCCAATGCAAGGGCTCCTTGCTGGTTGCAATTACAACCTGAGAATTCTTTGTTCTTCAGTACTGCCTGCTACTGCCATGGTTGCTGATGTTGTTCTTGATAGTGACTCGCAGTGGCCCCCCTGCACGTTCTGGTTATCTTCAATGGGCAACTAGTTCTCCCAAAGGCAAGTCTTAGAATTCTCAGACTTGCTTGGACAGCTTACATCTATTTTATCTGCAGGAAAGAAAAGAATCAGAGAAAATTTGGCCACTCCCCCAGAACTGCTGCTTACACAATGGAGTCATCTCCATTTTTTATATGGTAAAGATTTAGAAGTTTCGAAGTCAACTAGGAGAACAAGCCCAAGAAACCCTATAGAGAATGAATCAAGTTATTAGAAGAGTGAGATGTGAGATTAACACGCAAACCTGAGCTTCCAAGCTTTTTCCTGAATTTTGATGATCACAAATCACGACAAAATAAATTATTTTATTACCATAAGCATTTGTCGTACATTAACAGCTTGCTTCATGCTTCTGAAACTAAAAGCGATTGGAATAATATTAATCAATTATATTAGCTCGGTTTCCACGTGCCTGCAGTCAAGTCGTCACGCCTACGTTATTTTATTCAAGACTGCTAAAACGAATTATTATTATTATTATACATTTACTCTATTCTTGTTGATTTCACACATTTAACCATACTCACAGAGGTCAAGTAAGTTTTTTTTTTTTTTTTTTTTTTTTTTTTTTTATGAAGAGTATTTTTAAATTAAAATTTTAAATACATCAAACCAATATAAAAATATATAATTTTTAAATTTTTTAAAAAATTAATTTCGAACAAAACTTAAAAAATATCAGTATCGCATTATAAAAAATTTTTGTCAACGATTCTTTTTTTTTTTTTTTGACCCTTAAAATTGACAATTCTTAAGGTCATTGGGCTTTAAATGTTTGCCAAGCTTGTTATGCACGTGTAAATATATGAATATTCAATTCAAAAATTCAAAAATTTTCCAAAGAATAAATTATTATATTAATTATATTATTATAAGCAATTATTCGTTTTCCAGTTACAACTCCCAGAGATGAAATCGAATTTTCCATGTGCATGGAATCAATTTGATAAATATTGGATTCTGGCCAGCCAATCGAATGTGCATTATTCCTTTCTTTATTTTTTTTCTTAAGGTCCAACTTCCATCCACATATGGATTTTTTTTAAAAATTTTATTCTTAGAAATTATTTATGTATTAATTTTTGTAAATTTGATAATTTAAAACATGACACGATAATATAATATGAAAATGAATAAATTATACGAAAATAATACAGTTTAAAATTTTTAAAACATTATAAATAACTTTAATAAAATAAAAAATTATATTTTATATTTTATGTCAATACAAATTATGACACGTAATTTTCGTATAAAATAATATACAAATATAATATTTTTTATAATACTATGATACAAATTATCAAATTTAAATTTTTGTATAAATCAGAATACAACAGTTGAATCTATTCTTTATTTCCAATTTCAAATGGTAAATAACATTGGCAAGGTTTTAAAGTTTAAAAGGATACCACAAATGCAAAAGCTTCTAAACTTGAGATTGTATTTTCATACTTTCCAATCCAAGAATACTGATTTATTTTCTATTTCCAGTCAAATTTCTATGCCAAAACAAAATGCAACACAAAGTCGATGTTGTTAGCATCAATTGACTCACACCCATTTTATTACTTTTTAATGAAATTTTGATTTAATGATAAAAAATTTTTAAAATTTTAAAATCTTAAATTCAAATTTCCTCATAAGTGAATTTTATTTAATTATATACTGATTCGCCAATTATGATTATAACTTTATCTGAAATAATGTTTGAAAGATCTTAAATAGTAAGCACTTTGTCTTACTATTTGAAGCAATTTAAAAAAGGGAGCAAGACAATTACCTTGAAGTTTTGAAGCAAAATGCTACCAAACTAAATTTTCTTTAATTTAGATTTTTGGTTATGGTAATGTGTAGAGATTTTAGCTTCACGAGTATAAAATTAAATATTGATCTTTGGTTTATTATATTATATCTATAAAATTAATAAATTAATTGATTTTTAAGTAGATATATAGACAATAATTTAATCTTTATAATTAAAATAAAAACTTAAAAGTCTAATTATATATAACCAAAAGATGAGATGACAAGGAGCTGTCCATGAGATTACAGGTATTTTCTGAAAGCCTTCTAAAACAGAACATAGATATATTTTTTTTAAGTTTAAACGTATCCGTTACATTTACACTCAGCTCACACCCAAATGACACGAAATGGCTAGTTTCAATGGGTCTGGTGCATTGAAAATGGTCTCATAATTGGATGCTGAAGAGGTGTTACTGACCTCAGACAAGAGAAAAGCAAAAGCCGTCCGAACCAGCCAATTATTTTTTGCCATTAAACAAAAGAAAACAAAACTGCAATAAACATTATTGAAAACATGGCTCCTCAATAGGATTAGGACCATGTCTATGTACGCTGTTTCTCCCCCCACTCCCAGTCAAAAATGACCCGACGCGTTCAACCTCTTTTGGCAACTCTCTCTCTCTCTCTCTCTTTCACTTTGACCACATTCCAAGCAACAGCTTCGAAAGCCTCCATCGATTTCCCACCTAATATATAACCCACCCCTCACTCTCTTTTTGCTCTACACCAAAACAAAAACAAATTCGAAGGAAGAAGAAAAAGTGAGATCAAGTGTTCTTCTTTCTTTTTTCTGTGATTTTCTGATATGGAGTTTGAAGATTCAGGCAGGAGTTCAAAACCTGTAAAGATAAGGGAAGTTTGGTCGGATAATTTAGAATCAGAGTTCGAGTTGATCAGTCAGGTAATTGATGAGTACCCTTTCATTTCTATGGACACCGAGTTTCCGGGTCTTGTTTTCAGACCTAAAGTTGACCCGACTAGGCCTTACAATGCCCAACTTCGACCGTCCGATCACTATAGGATTCTCAAATCCAACGTTGATGTTTTGAACTTGATCCAAGTGGGCCTCACCCTCTCCGATTCTTCAGGTAATCTGCCTGACCTTGGAACCGGCGACACTCAGTTCATCTGGGAATTCAATTTCCGCGACTTCGATGTGGAGCGTGATGCTCACGCCCCTGATTCCATTGAGCTTTTGAGGAAGCAAGGGATTGATTTTGAGAAGAACAAGGAAATGGGGATTGAATCGGTACGGTTCGCTGAGTTGATGATGTCGTCCGGACTCCTGTGTAACGACGCAGTGAGTTGGGTGACCTTTCACAGCGCGTATGATTTCGGGTACCTGGTTAAGATCCTGACGCGCCGGGACTTGCCCGGGGGATTAGATGAGTTTTTGAAGATTCTCAGGGTGTTTTTCGGAAACAAGGTTTATGATATGAAGCACATGATGAGATTCTGCAATAGCTTGTACGGTGGGTTGGACCGGGTAGCTCGGACCCTGGATGTGAACCGGGCGGTTGGGAAATGTCACCAAGCCGGTTCCGATTCCTTGTTGACGTGGCACGCGTTTCAGAAAATGAGGGACGTGTATTTTGTGAACGATAAACCGGAAAAGCATGCCGGTGTATTGTATGGATTGGAAGTTTATTAAAGTTTGTTAATTAAATTGTAGAATTATTTAAGCATAATTCTATATAATTCGTTGATTAAGTTGAAAATTTTGCAAAAGCTATTCTCAAATTTTGTTTAATCGATAAGCCAAAATGTGTTGCATATTTATCCAAAATTTATCCAAAACAATTTCATTAAGCTTATAATAGAGATTAATTAATGTTCAATTTGGATAGTTGATATTAGGTGAAAAAAGATTCTCATCATGTTATCATTTTTCTGAAGGTGCCGTGGAAAATTTTTTTCATCATTCATTTAAATAAAATTTAAACCTTAAATTTGGTTGAATAAATTTTTCATCATTCATTTAAATAAAGTTTAAACCTTAAATTTGGTTGAATAAGTAATGGCAAGGCATGTTTAAAAGATGGGAGAGAAAATTACTAAAGGAAACATTTGCAATACTATAAACCCATAAGTCATAACTAACTATCAAATGGGTTAGATTTCATTTCAATATTTTTTTTTATTTTCAAACTTTAAAATAAGCTGTCCAAAGTCTTTGGTCTTTTATGGTTTTCAAGCAAGTAACAAACAACAATGGAGAGCGTAGCTGAGTAGCCGACCATCCTTGGAATAGTCTTATTGGCCACCTTCTGCCTTCTTAACTTTGACTTCTAATTCTCTCGTTTCCACTGGAAAATCCATTTGACTAGTTTTTTTGTTTGGGTACTGTGCTGTGGCTAGGTTGCAAAGGAGACGAAAGGATTGAGACTTGGTATTCCCGAGAGATGAAAGGTTGAAAATATCAATATAATAATAATCTATATATGCAACAGGGATGTTCCACTAATATCCCACTAGCAGGGATGGCATGAAAGAAAGAAATTGTACCAAAGTGACCGTTCAAGCTGAAAAGCTTTGCCATGGCCATGTTGACATCGGATTTGATCGGAACAAATTTTTTTCATTTCGAATTCAATCTGATTTTATAATTAAAAAAATTTAATTTAATTTAATTTAAATTTTTTTTTATTTTTTATATTTGAATCTAATTCGATTTAATTCGAAATTAATAAAATATTATTTTTTAAATATAAATATAATTATATAAATATATATAAATAATTAATTAATTTTGAATTTAAATTTTTTTTCACATTATCTAACTTAAAACTTGATTTAAAAAAAAATGATCTTATAAGGTGGGATCGAAACCTGTTAGTGATGGATTAGGTTGTCAACTTTGACCAAGGTCACTCTATTTATAGTATCACTTTATTTGATAATTTTAAATATGATATGATTGTATAATATAAAATTGATATAAAATAAAATATAAAAATGATATTATTTAAAAATAAAAATATATATTTTATGTTTGATATATTAATATGAAATTGATACAATAATTTTTTATATTTTATATGTATTTAAAATGATAAAAACATGATATATATACACAAATTATCAAAGTAAGTCAAGATTATAAGCTTAAAACAGGCTATCTGGAATGGAGACAGATCTTACTTACCGATATCAAAGAAAAAACACAACAAATTCAATGGAGTAAGTACTGTTTATGCCAGCGCTGCTAAGTGAATGCCATTTCAATTTCACATCTTCTTCTTATTAATGCTTTGGCTGTCCCAGCAGCTGTAGCTTGCAGCATGCCGAGTTTGATGTTTCACTTTCAATGCAGGAAAAAAAACATCTTGTTCGTTCATGTCATCTCAATGAATGTTTTACTGTTATTTAAATAGAGATCAACTGCTGAACATTATCATGCTGATTTTATGTTTCTTTCTTTCATTTGTCCCATTCAGCTCTCTGCCTCTGCCACCTGTTGACTGACACCTTTGATATGACTTGTACACTCTCCCAATTAAATTGATAGGCCTGATGTAAGAAATGGATGAGGCGCTTTGACATTTGGAATGAGAGAGATGAAAGAACAAGTGTTCAATTTGGCATTAATGAATCATATTAGCAAAATCAATTGTCCCTAAAAGCGAACAAAAAAGAGGTGCTGATTTCTGATTCCTCCACTTGGCAGACAAATTACAGTTTTTCCACATTCTTCATCTGCTAATGTACAGCTTTTGATAGACATGGAAAATAAAACAAAATAATCCATAGGAACTAGTATTCTCCAAGCAATTAAGAATAAGAACAAATTCTTTCCCACTGCTTTATCTTTGGGCAAAAAAAAATTAGTACAAATGCAGATTCAAATAATGTCACAATCTAATATTTATACATGTAACAGATACTGAACCATGGGGCGAAAAATGATTTGACATAAAATATCAATGTGGTGGGCAACTGGCAGAATGAAAACAGCACTAAAATCTTTTCGTTCAGAGAATAAAGGTGTGATTTGCTTAATTCAATCGATTAGATTTCGTATCCAACTATCTCAAGTAATAAAAAAACAGCAATTGTAATTAGTGTAACTGATAAGTCATTATCAGAGAAGTCGGAAACTGCACCTTTAAATTCTTCCTGCTGAAAGAATTGCGAAGATCAAATGTTAAGATTTATGAAAAGAATTATATGAAAATTTTTAAGTAAAATTCATGAAACTTTTTATTAAAAATAATTAAATAAAAGTTACAATCGAAAATCAAAATTAAATATTCATTTCATGTTCATTTTCATAAAACTTCAAAAAAAATTTGTTAGATCCCAACTGAAACCTCAAACTAAAACTTCAAATTTGAACTTTAAATCCAAAACTTAAACTTCAAATCATAAATCAAAATCTTAAATCTCAAACTTCAAATAAAAAATCTTAAATTTTAAACTCTAAATCTAAACCCTAAACCCAATCCTAAACTCTAACCTTAAAACCTAACCCTAACTTTAACCTAGACCCTAAATCGACCCACAAGTCCTAAATCATTTATATATTTACATTTCATTTTTTTTTATCTTTCACAAACATTTTTATATTATTATACATTCATATTTTGTCATTCATATTATATTATCGTGCATTCATCACATATTATTATGTTCATACATTTCATGCATTATTTTTTTTAAATTAAGTTTTTAAAATAAAATATTTTAAAATAAAAATATTTAAGTAAATATAGTTATCGAGATCTTACTTAACTATAAGGATTAGTGATGATTATTATTTATGAAAGATGCTACCTTAATTTTGTGAAGTAATTTGAAAATTTTTAAATTAGGAATATTTTTTAAGTTCTAGAGTAGAAAAAGTATTTCAATATTCAAAATGTTTCCTCTTTAATCTAAAAAAAAAGAGTTTTGTTTTAAATTTTATTTATTTCTATTCTAAAAAAAGTTTTGTTTTAAATATGATTTATTTATTGTTTAAATAAAAAGAGAAAAGAAAAAAAAAGAATTAATTTTAAACGTTAATTAAATAGAACTATTTTAATTAACATTAAAGGATGACATGCAATAAATAAGTACCATCTTCAACGGGCGTTGTGGGATGTTAATCTTTTCTCATATGTAATCGACTTACATACTCAACTCTAATTTTACAGACAATAAATTTATTTATTTTTTTTAACTTTTTCAATCCATTTTAAAATTTTTATTAAATGAATAAAAATTTTGGATGACCAATTACATCCTAAAAAATATTGGTGGCAACTCTTTTTTTTTTGTTTTTATTGAAAATATTTTTAACCCTTGTTTTTTTAAAAATTTTCCCATTCATCCAACTTTTGAGTTAGTTCACACCTAGATCCCAAAACATCACGACAATGCTTAGGTTGTCTCAATGGCAATAGCCTTAGCAGCATGCGAAATTTGATGTTTCACTTTCAATGTAGGAAAAAACATCTTGTTCATTCATGTCATCTCAATGAATTTTTTACTCTTATTTAGTTAGAGATCAACTGCTAAACATTATAATGTTGATTTTATGTTGGGTGTTCTAAATACATCACCAAATTTTTTTTATACACCTTCAAAATTTTCTTTCAAAATACCCATATACCAAATACCAACTTTAACTTTTAGTAAATGATAAAAATACCCTTAATAGCTCATACACCTAAAACCCACCTCATATTTCTTGAAAATGGATTTTCGAGAGTTATATTGTGTTCTTAAAAATCTATTTTTGAAAAAATAATATAACTTTTGAAAATAAATTATCGAAAAAAAAACACACCTCTTGAAAAATTCATTTCTTAGAATTTGTTGTTTTCTTGAAAATGGATTTTCGAGAGTCATCATGTACTATCGAAAATTCATTTTTGAGAATACAAAATTTTTTTAAATATATATTTAATTATAAACTCTTGTTAATGAAAAAATCAGGATCTCTAATCTTTGTGTCACTAAAAAGTATCATCAATAGACTACCAAATTCGATAGTAAACTGGTGGCTAAGAGATTATATACTGTCGTATTTGTCAATTTACTGATGACATTATTAGCAACAATATTTTATAGGATGTTCAAGCTCGAATTAGCATGCACGAGTCATCGATATGCCCATTTTTACTTGATCATTTGTAAAAATGAAAGAGACCAAGTTCTCAAGCATGCATAGTATAAAAACGGTGTTTTCGATTTTCTAGAAACTCAAAAGAAAGAACAAGTTTATACCTTACATGTTGAGAACATCAGTTTTAGTTCAATTCACACACATAATCAAGTAAATAGGTTTGTAAACACATAATTAAAGCTTTTGATTAAAAGTGAAATCGAGTTTCTTGGATATAAAAATCTGAGAAATCTCAAATTTTTTCGAATATGCATTTTTGAAAAGACTTAAGGAATATAAAAAATGGATATCTGTAAAAATAAGGGGTTTTTCAAAAATGAATATTTGAGAAACTTCAGAGTTTTTCAAAAATCCATTTTCGAAAAGCTCAATTTCAAGAAGTAAAAAAAGAAAAAGAGATAAAGGGTAGGAAGGGAAAATAAAAAGGTTAGAGGTATGGTGTATTTAATAAAACAAGTAAAATGAAGTTTGAATTTGAAGTGTATATAAAAATGAAATGTACATAACATTAAATAGGGTGCATTTAGAATTCTCCTTTTATGTTTCTTTCTTTCATTTGTGCCATTTAGCTCTTTGCCTCTGCCAACTATTGACAAACACCTTTGATATGATTTGTTGACTCTCCCAATTAAACCGATAGGCCTAAAGCAAGAAATGGATGAAGGGTTTTGACATTTGGAATTAGAGAGATGAAAGAAGCATTTAAACAAGTGTCCAATTTGGCATTAGTGAGTCATATTAGCAAAATCAATTGTCCCTAAAAGCAAACAAAAAAGAAGTTCTGATTTCTGAATCCTCCATTTGGCAGATAAATTACAGTTTTTCCACATTCTTCATCTTCTAATATACATAGAAAATAAAACAAAATAATTAATAGGAAATAGTATTCTCCAAGTAATTAAGAATCAGAACAAATTCTTTTCCACTGCTTTATCTTTGGGTAAAAAAAATTACTACAAATGCAGATTCAAACAATGTCACGATCTAATATTTATATATGTAATAGGTACTGAACCTTGAGGCGAGTTATTGATCTTCTTAGAACACTAGATAACCTTCAAATAATTGGACAATGATTTGACATAAAATATCAATTTAGTGGGCAAGTGGCAGCTTGAAAACAGCACTAAAATCTTTTATCTTTCTCACAATGAGGGTGTGAATTGTTTAATTCAATGGATTAGATTTAATATCTAACGATCTCAAGTATTCGAAAAAAAGCAATGGCATTACTGTAGCTGATAAGTCATTATCAGAGAAGTCGGAAACTGCTCCCTTAAATTCTTCCTGCTGAAAGGATTACGTTGAACAAATGCCAAGATTTAAATGAATGGTACTTAAAGAAGCATAAATCTATAGGAGACTGGCCCCTGCGAGAGAATTGAATTCGAGTACAGACATGAAACGTGAAATAAAATGAAATGTTGCAAAAATATTTTCTGCAATTGAGGAAGCTTATTTGGATGAAGTCATATTCATCATACGAAGAGAAAACAAATTTTCTTTAAAATATTAGCGCCTTTACTTTTATGCAACTGTTCATTAATTTCTTTTATTTGGTAACTTAAATTCTCTTATTGATTGGACTAAGGATTTTTTTGGCACAACCCAGTAATTGTTCGAGTTGGGATTCACAGAAATCCTACGCCGGTGGATTGGCTTAAGGAGTCGTGCGTGAGCTGTTATGTAGATTTTGTAATTATAAACTAATATGATAATACTAATAAAAATGATATAAAAATAAAAATAATATAATTTAAAATTTTAACAAAATTTATATATAAATTTAATAAAATATAATATAAAATATATTTTAATATATTCAGATGAATTTAATATAATAATTTCATATTTTCTTACGCTTCACAAAAGATAAATACAAAAGTATATATGAATTGACAGATATACTGTTATGAAGGACTGTCCAGTTCATGATTTTTAATTTTTTGAAGGGCAGTTCCCTCTTACCTTTATCAATCATTCGAGTTTGTCTTCTATAACTTTCATCACATGCAATTACGTGAAATGTTTCCATTTTAAACAGAAACAGAAATTTAGTGAATCAGGAACCACCGGTCAGTGAAAATTTACTACTATTTTTACAAGCAATTCAAGTTCGACTGAAGTGGTTGTTGTCGGAGTTAAAATTAATTCATCTTTCAAAAGTTTCAAAGACTAAAGCTACTTCTGAGCTAAAACAACAGGTTCACCTCTCACTTCAACAGGCCTGAAAGAGAGCCAGACAGCGAAGCAAGAAAAAATGGGCACTTCTCTACGTAACACGCACCAATAATTTGGACTTGAAGGGATTTTTCAGCCTGTCCTTTCTAGCATAGGTGAATCTGATTGAAGATAAAAAATTTTGAAGTAAATTTTTTGAAAACTTTTAAAATTTTTTTCTGAACTTTTTTTTTATAGACGAAATTAATAAATCTGTGGACAGTTCTTCAATGATTAAATTCTGAACATCCCGAAAAAAATTTTTGATCCGTCGCTGTTTTTTAGTACTAGCTATACCTAGCTAGCTAGCTAAGGCTTCGTTAGCCAAACAAAATGAAGTTTTATGATGTGAAGCTACAATAATGCTCACATGAAGACCCCCAACAAACCCTCGTCTGTTTTTCACCTTACTCTTGGCGAGTTTGATCTATGCTGCATCTAACTCGATCCATATAAAATGGAGCCTAGTCAAGCAAGTATGGAAATACAGCCTCTTTAATGGTCAGGATTCAAGAAGATGAAGCTTCCTTCCATCTGTAAGAAGCCAAAAACCAAAGGATTGTGCAAATTATCACTTGTTAAGAAGTTCAAAGCCATTTCATTCATGACCGAGCCTAAAAATTTAAAGAATTCCAATTTTATTTTATCAGATACTGCCAGGTTTATTTCAGCGCTGGACTCCTTGTGCTCTCAGTCAAGAAATGGCTTCACAGTGCCTAAAGAGTCCAAGAACTGCTTCAGATGGCTAGCAAGGCACTGAGATCAAACAGGCTGTTTTTCGAGCCAGGCAACACGAATTCGATACTAGAGGCAGCCAGGTTCCCATTCGAGGATTGTGTGGCATTGGCTTTAGAAACAGCAGATCCTTACATGGATTTTCGAATCTCAATGGAAGAAATTGTTGAGGCTTGTGAACTGAAGAATCAAGAGCATCTAGAGGAGTTATTGGCCTGGTACTTGAAGATGAACAGAAAGAAGAACCATGGCTTTATAGTGGGAGCCTTCATCGACATGTTTGCTACTGTCAATTCATGTTCCTCTTCTTTTATTTCTGCTTCTTCAGCTTCATCTGCCAGGACAACAGGCGAGTGCGAGGAAGACTGAGGATTAAAGCATTCGACCATGAGCTGAGAAAGGAGTAAAAACATGCAGAGTAAAGCTCAGATATGATTCCAACAAAGTTCCCAGTATGTATTGATCTTGAATCATATGTAACAATAAGTACTCCATATGTAATATACAATACGTACAAAAATTGTTTTGAACCCTGCAAAGGTACTGATATTATAATATATTGATCCAACATTATTTATATAGATAATGTTTTTAGGCCAAATTTTATTTAAAGAAGAAAAAAAAATAGATAAGAACTTACTGATAACTCTATTTTAGATAGAAGACACATGTATCTATTATTAAGTCAGATGTTCAAATGTGATCATAAAAAATTTATTTTCAAAATGTTATTGTTGAATTTCATAATGAGATCACTATCATTAGAGAGTGTCTAAACTCTAGAATTTGGATCTTGACTTAACCCCAAAGACAACCTTAATAGATGTTCTTATATTGATCCATGCACCCACTTTTATCAATTTTCGTTCTGCTTTAAATTAAGTCAATTTAAATGAGAATTGAATCTCATATTTGTAAATGTATTATGATTGTTATAACAAATGAGAAGGAAAGAGTTGCTTAGGGGAAAAGTGATCATGTTCAATACTCAATATGTTTTTCTTGAGGAATATCATCATAGTTTCTTATTCATATAAAAAAAATATGACAGAAGTAAATAACATGTTAAAAGTTATGCAAAATTTTTAATGATATGATTATCTTAAAGTTTTTTGAAATTTAATTTTACATATAATCTGTTCAACAAGTTTTATCCATATATCCATTATAATCGGTTTTAATAGAAAATTTTTCAAGCTTATCTAAATCTTGTTGTTTTAGAATTATTTTTTTTCATCTTGTCGTCTTCAAGTGTTTACTTTATTTATCAATGCGTTTATTCTCATGGAGTGAATTCAAAATTCAAAGCTCTTTTCCTCAAAAAGAAAAAATAATAATAATGATAAGACTTTTATGTTTTTCCCTTGCTTAAATTTGTACTCTTTCTTTAAAAAAAAATAAAGGTTAACATAATAAAACAAGCTTTGACCCAATTGCTCATCTCGCTTTGAGGATTGATCTTGCTTGAGTTGGGGGTTATTCCCTATTATCATAGAAAAAAAAAAGTTGATTCAAAATAATACTATTGAGGGAATGTTTGGTTGAAGAGAATTCGTAAATTTTTATAGATCCCAAACCCAAATAAAAATTAATTTCAGAAATTCTTTTTCATCTCTTTCTACTTTTCTTTTTTAGCAATTAAGTATCAGAAGGTCAATTTATAAGCAAGGGTAAATTGAAAAGGTACTCTTTTCTTGTTTTGATCTAGGGTATACTATTTATAGTTTTTTTTTTTTTGTATATATGATATTAGATTATACAATAACTGTTCATTTCAACATTTGAATTTGTAAATTTTAAGATCTTACCTTTTAACCGTTGAGATATTTTTGGAGGGACAAAACTTACATGAAATTATTTAGATGAAGTTTGTGAAATTTTTTAAACGATTTAATAAAAATTTTAATCTGATAAATTGATAGAGTTTAATGTAAATATCAATTATTTATATAAAATTTATTAAAATTTTAGTTTATAATTCAAATTTTATCAATATTTTTACTAAAAATGTTTACTTAATAAATATATCAAAAAAATTTTAAATTTTGCACGCTTGATCTATATAATGAGATTTTTTAATCTATCAAATTTAATTTTTTATTTTAGTTTTCATTTATTCATTTATAATAAAAAATTTCACAAATTTTACCTGTAAAACTTCATGTAAACCTTTCCTTTTTTGGAGATAGTATTATTTTATGTTATTATTGAAATTGAAATTTGGTTAACTTATTTTAATACTTTAAAATATATGTACCCTTAAATATTGATATAATCATGGTTCTATCTGTTCCTATTCAACTATTAATTTGGAAATTGGAATCACATTTTTTCTCATTCTATGAATCAAATATATGATAAATGTTTAAACAAAAACATTTTCTATTTTTGTAATCACTTTATCTCTATAACTCATGTATCGCAAGCCCCAAATAGTTGATTGTTAATCCAGGTAGGACAACTCAAATTTGGTCCAATGAGTAACTTGTGCCAACGGGATGCCACTATAAGTGATAGTAATATTTTCTTTAATTCTCTTTTTTTTTTCTTGTAATGTATGCATATGTGATCTTAGTTGGATGATAATGAAAGCCCCATCAGATTAGAAAATTGTTGAAAAAGCAGTCACGGTTTGGTTGCTTGAATTGACGGTGGAGTATTACTTATTGGGTGGTTCAAAACAACCCCTATTTTTTTTCTTCACATCCTATATATATATATATATATTTTTTTTTTTTGAAATTATTTAATTATTATTTTATCTTAATTTTAAACCTTTCAAAAATTTTAGTAAGTTTATAACTTTTTGGAAATAAAAGTTAGAAAAAAATTTAGATTTGAGAAAAAAATAACTTACAAAAATTTTTAAACTTTCGGATATGCAAATTCGGAAACTTCTAACAGTTTTTGGATTTGTAAATCAGAAAATGTTTAAAAAGTTATGGATTTACAAATTTGAAAGTTTAAAAATAAAAGGGATGTTAAAAGAAAAAATAATAAGGTATTTTCATTTTAAAATAATTTTTAAAAAAAATGTATGAAAAGTAAAACATGTGAATAGAATTACCCTTATTTATTTTTGTAAGTAATTGATTATTAAAAAATGAAAGCAAAGAAATTGAAGAAAATATCATGGAAAGAATACAATTTTTTTAAAATAAAAAGGGAGAGATAAATATTTAAAAAATATTACCAAAATTAATTTTAAATAATGAGTCATCTATGACCATTTAATTCAATAATAAAGATATGCATCTCCTACTAAAAAAAAGTTGGAATCTCCCTTTCTTCAAATTCAGATGAAGATAACGAGTCATCTACTCATTTTTAAATCCAATAAATGTGAAATTTTGAATTCAGTAACCAATAGAAAGAAAGAAACTAATATGTACACCAGCATATTGAGGAAAAAAAAACATTTCTTTTTTGTTTTTTATTCAAAAACAATTATAATTTTCAAATGTTGAGTCAGGCATAAGTTAGCCCACAGTGCCCACGAAATCACCTAACTTCTTTGAACTTTTGTTCGAAGAAAACCAGCCAGTGTTTATTGCTAGAAGTAAAGGAAAATCTTTTGAATATTTCTAAACAAACCAAACTTGAATCACTTTTTATGTATATTCACACATTTACAGCAAAAGCAAACTCCTTATCTCCAAAACCCTATTTGAACTAAGAAGGAAAATCATAAGATACAATTAGATAGTTAATTTGACGATAACCCATATATATTAATGAATTCTGTCGACTACCCTTAAGAATTTAAGCTCAAATTCTAACACTTACAATGATTTTTTTTTCAATTATGATATTAGGGTTTCTTTTGTAAAATATAAATTTTATTCAAGATTCAAGTACTACTAAAATTCTACACACAATCAATGAGATTTATATTTTCCTTGAAACAATGAATGAAAAGTTTTTAGAGGCTATGGAATGCAGGACCTTATAAAGTCCCTATGATCAATGACCAGAAAAGCTTAATTAAAATGGTGGAGCCTTCTCTTTGATTCAATCATATCCCATATATTTAACATCAAGCACTAAAGGACAATTGAGAATACTCCTAACAACCCAACAAATGTAAAAGCATATATATGGGATGAAATGAAAGTGATGAACCCTTTCAAGTGATGGAAAATGAAAAAAGGGCCAACAACTCTTTTGCTTTTTTTTTTTTTTTCAAACCTAAAAACAGCAACAGATGTAGCCAACTACTAACATTAAAAACTGCACAGTTAGTTATAAATGCAAATCTAAGATTTTTTTTTCTCTGTTTATAATTAAAATAATTTTTTTTTAAAATAATTAAAAAGGAAATCACAATTTGCAACCTTCTTATAAATTGCTTATCAATTTTTTAAACAGAAACAAAAACAAAATCTCTATAATTATTGTTACTAATTATAGTTATATGCAAAAATCTTACATATATAGCACCCTGACTTTGACAAACCGCCATGCGGCTTCCCACGTGCGAACTCAATGTATTCACACGGTTTGTCATCCCAACACGTGCCAAAAGCTTTCTTGCTCTAGGATCATCCATGTTTCTCTCCATGAACAACACACGGTTCCTCCAGTACCGTAACAATCTCCTTGGAGATAACCTGGTTCCAGATCTCCATGAAAGCCTTGACAATAACATCATGGTGGCATGGAGAATTCAGCTCCAAAAAGCATTGAAGAAGCTCCCGAAGATCATCTTTGGTGTAGAGTTGTTTTTCCATGATCATTTGGATCATCGAATGTCGAAAATCTTGATATGGGTCGTTTGAGTCCTTCACCACAGCGATGCTGTCGATGATTTTAGGGCAAGGGCTGAGCATAACTTTCGACGGTCTTGAGAGATCAGGTTCAGATTCAGAGTTGAGGGTAGTGGATGATGATATTGTATCGATATTGTTGAAAGAGAAGGAAGTGGATGTCAGGTCATCGTTTTCCATGGCTGAAACGGCAACGTTTCTATCGTGAGAACTCGACGAAGAGGAAGGCTTAAGAATTTGGGGTGCAGAGGTTTTGGATTTTGGTTTTGGTTCATAAACATCAGAAAGGTTTTGCCTGCCACAGCCACATCCAGCATTGGCTGTTAACAGGGTTTTTAACAGATTTTTCTTGTTGGAAGACATGAAAATAAAAGAGAGTTGAAGAAGATCCAATGTTGTTTGAAAACCTTGAAAAAAACTGATATAGAAATGGATTGTAGTTTGCAGGGTTGAGTGGGACAGATTTGTTGGGGGTAGAAAGGCTAGAAGGGTGATTCTTGGTAAGAGTCTTTTTCAAACGTTCCCTGATTTTTAGTAGTGGCTAGGAAGATGGTTTTGAATGAGAGAAAGGCGATTTTGGGTAGGACTCATTTTCTCTTGGTCAGTGTTTTTTTTTATTTTTTTATTTTTTTTTATTTGAGGGATTTGACTTAGAGGAAATTAAGATCATGGGCATGTGAATTTTGGGATAGGATTTTTCTTTTTTTTTTTTTTAATCCTTTGTGGGTTTCAATTTTTTTAGCTAAAGATTCATTTTCTGTGGTAATTTCGCTGATAATGATGCTTACAAACTTCAAGTACGCTTATTAGTGGCAAATCTTAATGAAACCCTCTTTGAGAATTTAATAAGATCCGAATTAAGCTTTTTAATTAAGATTTAAGTTAATTAGGTCTGATTTTACTTTTTTTTTAAGACACTATATTAGATTTTTTTTGTGCAAACCTTATCGAATATATATACTATATTCTTAAAAATATATATTAAAAATATATATAGTTTTATAATTTGTACTAATGGTAACTATATTAAATTCATAAAAAATCTCCCAAGGGCCACCTAAAGGAAAGCATCTGTGTCTGTCTATATTTATTTATATATATATATATTTATTTATAATTGGGTCAATCAGTGCATTGATTATGTTTAGAAACATATGCAATTTTAGATTTTGAGAAGTAATTTAAGAAAAAGTGATATTAGAAGAGAATGTGTAAATTTTGGATTTTGTTGATTTAGAGAATATATAATTTTTTTTTTATTTGGTTCACGAGAATAAAAAATTATCTAATAAAATTTTTTATTACATTATTTTTTATAACATGTGATATTTATAATATTAATATATGAATAATACGTGATACATAAATAATACATTATTTTTGTTGAAATTAAATAATTATAAAAATAACTATATTTTCAACAAATATAATTCTACAATTTTAATTATTATTCTAATATTATTGTCCCTATACATAAATAACACCCGGATTCAACCTTTTAAACAAAAAGATAAGACTTTACATATTTTCAAAAAAGACTTTTCACATTTTATATATAATAATATTAAATAAAAATATTTTACGTTTTAATTTTTTATATTTTTAATAAAGATTGTATTTTTTATCCTAAAAAAATTATTTTTTTCAACAAAAATCATGTTTTTATCTCAAAAACGTTATCTTTATTGAATTTTAAAAAAAAAATTTTTTACGTTTTCAATAAAAACTACATTTTTATTTTAGAAACATTATTTTTTTTAACAAAAATTGTATTTTTATCTTTAAAATATTATCTTTATTGAATTTTAAATACTATATTTTTTCATGTTTTTAATAAAGATTATATTTTTTATCTTAAAAAAATTGTTTTTGTTGAATTCTAAAAATTTTTTTCATTTTACAACAAAAACTGCGTTGTCTTCTCAACAAAGTATCTTAAAAATGTTGTTTTTATTAAATTCTAAAAAATAAATTTTTTCAAAATTTTAACAAAGACCACCTTTTTAGTTTAAAAACATTATTTTTATTGAATTATAAAAAACAATGTTTTGTTATTTTTTCAACAAAAATCGTATTTTTAATCAAAACTTTTATAAAAATTTCAATAATCTTTTGTTAAAAAAGTAATTTTTTAAAAATATATTAAAAAATTATTTTCATAATATTTTATAAAAAATTACTACTAAGATAAATAATATTATTTATATAATCTAAAAATGTAATTAAGTTAGAGCAAATGGGAAAAAAATTTTACTTTTCTTTCGAAATCTTAAAAAATTTTAAAGAGATGAGAGTTTTTTATTTTTTTTTATTTTTTATACTATTAAAAATTTTTAAAAATCTCAATAATTACATTTTTGTGAATCAAATCAAGAAATTAAATTACAAAAAATAAGATTATGAGAAAAAAGTTACTTTCTCTCGAGCTAAATGTCATATTAATATCCAGATAATAATTATGCTCACTACAATTTAACAATAAAAAATAATTATAATTTCTAACTAACAATTAAGAATAATTATAATTTCTATACGTTAGCGTAATTAATTTCTACCATCATCGAAAGAAAACTTGTACCATCATTTTTAGAGAACTTGTGAATGTTCACTCTACACAAATAAAATAAATAGCAGCAAACAAACTAATAATTTGGATTATTACAGCAAAAGCAAAAATTTTACTATTTAAACGCTTAATTTCTATAACGAAATGACAGTCTTAAATATGTAAAAAAAAAAAAAAAAACCTTAAATAAAGCTAAAAACCAAGCGAATTTCAAACTTAAAACAATAGCAATTCTTCAACTTTATCTAGTGTCAATTTCTTCAAACAAAAATGATTTCATTTGAGTATTCCTTATCTCATTTACCAATGGCGCATTCATCAACACAGAATTAGACTTAATTTCTTTACAAATAATATGCAATTCAAGATATTTTTTAGCTTGTGATAAGTTGCATATTTGAGATTTGAGATCTCTCACAAAAAGCCAATTAGGTATTGGTTTAATGCTAAGAAAAAAATCTTAAAATCTTGATATATTAAATTCAAAGTTTATTGCGTGGGTTTGTTTTAAAATTATTTAGTTATATTCTAATTTATTAGTTGATTATTCAATGATAATAACTTTCAAAAAAATTTGCAAAAAAATTTTGTTTTGGCTGATGAGGCCGGAGCGAAAGTGGGAACCTTTGCTTTGGCTGGCATATGCTGCAGAAAAAGCTGCATCTCCTATAGGGTTTTGTCCAACAGTGGCTCTGACTGCCATTGTTGCGAGTTGGATAGGAAAGAGGGTTGAAAAAGTAAGTAAAGTATGCAGGTACTTCCAAGTTTAATGCCCTGTCTCACATTTTAGCGTGCAAGTAAAACATTTTTTTCTCTCTGGTGTTTCCCATGGAAATTGGAGTTTTTCTTGGAGACTCACTGAACCTTTTGAGCTCAAATCATTTTTCACTCTTGGTAAAAGGTCAATAATCCTAGTTCGAACGCCTCTGGCAAACTTAATGAATTACTCATGCTCGATCCCAAGACAATATCAATCCAGGAGTATCTGTTCTGTTGAGAGAGAACTTCTCAAAAACAGCCTTGCCATGCACTGAATATCCCGTACAAGTCACAACATCTTTATTTCATCAAAATTTTGCTCAAATACAGTAAAAACAAGGTACATCAGATCACTTGTTTGGGATCACACCATGTCGATATGACCCTATGCCAGTCAATCTAACGAGAATTGCTGGTTGATGCAATAAAAGTAGGAGGGATGGAATAATATACAGGGACTAACTCAGATAGAATAAGACCTTATTTACTACAAGATCACGTGGATCATTTGTATTACTTACCTTAAACTGTACAGTGGTTGTGCCACCTACTTCCTATTCTTTAGCTCCTCGAACTTTTAGGAACATCAAGTAGCCAACTTTCGTGAACTTCATGCCAATCTCCAAAGTATCAGGAATGCTCTCAACCAAAAAAAAAAGTCAAGGAATCTTCGATTTCACACGTGCAAATATGCCTTTCACCTCTCGGTTGAATTAGCAGAAGGCACTTCAGTTGCATTTGATGGAGGTGTTTGGGGATGTGGCGTGCCAACAGCAGCCATGCCATAGTCATCATGAACTGTATCAAATTCATTCCATTCAACCCCAGCTATAGTCAAGAGTCATGGAATGCAAAATAATAAGAAAGAGGAAAATAATTAACATTAATCTGAGCACATCTCAGTGGAGGATACGTTCAGTCCGCCACATGTCAGTGATGCTAACACTAGGATCTGATAGAAGCCAATAATCAGCATCAATCTGCAAAATAATCAGGAAGTACTCATTAACAATCTATCAAAAGAGCATGAGAATTAAAAACTTTGTTATGAATATTTTGAAATGCTGAATCAAATCATGTTTTCAATAGAAAATGGGAATATGTCATTGAAAAGCAAACCCCCCTTTAGAAACAATTAACACATAAGTTTAAGGTCTACAAAAAATATGTTTACGATCTCAAAGCTTTTCGTTTTTTCTCGAAGCAGCAATATCCATAAAGTAAAAGAATTGAACTTACGTCAACATCTGAGGGAACAATCTTCATGATCCCACTAACAAAGTCCTGTGACGAATTAAGATCTGAGCACATTCTATTAGTATCTTGGCCCTGCATTTCAATCTCCTTCCCTCTGCTCTCTTCTGTTACCATTGTTGTTGCTGGGTTATCATTCAAGCCTGAAGTTGATGGAAAGTTTGGAGGTGGATCTACACCTTGTATCTCTTCAAATTTCTCCTCAAATTGACTACAATAGCAGAGAGATGAATCATCAGGAAAGTTGGACATTTGTCTTTGGCACAATGGATTTGCCATGCCATAAAAAATAAAGATTAAAATTGCATGCAAGGATACCAACTTTTAACCAATAAGAAGCAGCAGTACCTGACAAGGTAAACATCTATAGGACCCATTGAGCTTCTGAGGACAATCCTGTATCTCCTCTGGGGATAGTCTACAGCCTGCTATAAAAAGAAAAGGTGGCAATTATGGTTGAACATAAAAACATAAACCACTTGTTAATTCTTCAAGCCTTCAAGACTACCTCATCAGGATCTGGGACTTCCAGAGTGGTTCCATGTGGAGCTTTAATAGCTATCAGTGTCTCATTCTAAACAAGGCAATGAAACATATAGTTAATAGTAGAAAGTAGAGCATCCTAAGGATTAGCCATGCCAGGTGACTTTACAATTACCAACTCAAAAACAAATAGTATAATAATATTTGAGCAATGAACAAACCTGGAAGCAGGGTAAACTCTTGATATCTTCCTCTGTGACAAAAAGCCACCTGAGATGGGAAAAGGTGAAATGAGTTAAGTTGCTCTGCTGAAATCATGGAAAATGTAGAAGTAATAATATCTTAAGTAAATGAAGATTTACTTTTGATTGTTTTCATCTTCACTGAGGTCCCTCAATCTTTCTTGCATTACTCTGTAAAATATAGAAACCTCAGCAACAATCCAGAGAATGAAATCAATTTAGCTGAGATACAATAGGAGAGGCTATAGCAGCTTAACCTTATTTGTTCATCTAATCTGTGTTCCTCAATAGAAAGGTTCTCAACCTCTGCCTGCAAGGAATGTTACTACTATGAAGTTTTCTTTACAAACTTAGTTGATGAGAAATGTAAAGGTGTTTGATCCATCACTTCCAAGTATTTTATTTATTAGGCGATAAAAATTAACTGGATGCAACTCAAAGCTTTATCATTTGTGTTAAAGCATCCAAATAATAGGCCACGGCTTTCAAGCTAAAATTAGAGGCCAAGAAAGACAAACAGAAAGATTCAAAACTGCCAATGAGAAGTGGTGATAAAGATGTCCTGTCTTTTGCCAGAAGTCTGGGTCTGAAAAAAGAGTTGGAAAGCAGTTTCGGTAGCCTAACCCAGCAGGTTAAGAAAGCATTGATGGATCCACAGTTATACAGCATGTTGGTCACTAGAAATGATTGATATTGTCTTTCCGACCGAAAAGGCAGCTTCATCATTTGACATGGAAATACAAGACATTTTGGATTTGACAGTCAAAAAGAGCAATAAAGCAAACCAAAGAGCAGCAAAAAATGAATAGTACGTGTGCATGCACCCCAAAGAAGAAAAAGACAGTAAAATTGGATTAATTTTCCAGTAAATACAAACACTAAATAACAAACCCTAAAAGCTAAAGCCTAAACCATTGAAGAATCTGCATTTCAATTAACAAGTTGTTTTCAATTCATGAATCGTACCTGCAATGTAGCAACACTCTCATCAATCTCCCCTGGCCTTGAGACATCAAGCCCCCTGATATTAGTTAAAAGATGAGTGTTTTCTTACGTGGGAAAGTGATCAATGCCAAAAACATTTAGAGAAAATAAGAGATAGCTCATACTTCCACTGGATTCTGTTCTTGAGTTTCTTTTCAATGAGACCAACTCCTTCAAGGACGTTGGTTATGTCATATATCCTCCTCTTTTGCACCTGTAGGAATAGAAAACCATCAGGAAATGAAATGGTATGACCTGATTGTTTGAACAAATAATTAAACAGTTACCTCCAATGTATCAGCAGCTTTATTTAAATCAAGAATACCATCTTCAGCTTGCTTAATCAAATTGATGAACTTCTTTGTCAAAAGCCCTGAGTTAAATTCAAAGGACATTATTTCAGTCTCACAATAATTCAATTCCATATTACAACCTAACCTAATTCTCTTATTTAGTTTCTCATACAGCTAACCCCAGAGTATGGGATATAAGGCTTAGTGTATTGTAGATGTTGTTGTTGATAATTCAATTCCATAAGCAGTGTGAAACAATGCCAACAATAAGTTAGCCAAATTAGCCGCTTTAAAATGATTTCAAAAGAAATGCCAAACGAATACATAAGGGAAATAAAAACTACCTAAGGAGCTGTCATAACGACAGGGACCTGCAGGAGTGAGATTATTGCCAGGAGAGCCTGCAAATTTTCAAAAGTTTTCTTATTATCTATATCAACATTTATACCTTTGGCTTCAACAGGACTAGGTCAAAAGATGATTTTTCAAGTAAAATTTGTGGATCTACAATGACCTTCACTGATGGATCGCAGACATCACCTTAGTTGTATAACTTGCATACAATATTACTCACCAAGATTTGAAGCAGGAGTTTGAGGACCAGATTTACTGATTTTTGCTAGCCTTGATGTTTTTTGAGCCTTTCCCCCTTTTCCTGCTACAGGTGTCTGGAGGGGACTGCTAACCACTTCAGTACATCCTGGAGGCATTGCCCACTCATTAGGCTCAACTTCTCGATCTGCTATGTCACTCTTCCTCTTTAACTGGTATACCATATAATATTTTCAAATTGTAATTAGAAACATGGGCAAATAAATTTTGGGGCACAAAGTTAATCAAGAAGAAACTTCAGGCTCCACTCAAGAAAAACCATCATATTGATAATAAAAGTAAGTTGGCAGGAAAAATATAGAGGAAATTATTTACTAGAAGCTGAACCATGCACCAAGAAAGATATGTTGGGCATTTTCATTTGCTGACATTATCAAATTAGACTAGAACCTTAAAAGCATTTCTCCATAGGAGAGATAGGGGGAAAAGTAAACAAGGGAAAAAAGTGTATCTTTCAACCGAGTACAGTAGACAGTTTCTATTGTAACTTAAGATCAGTATGTTCCAAAATAACTCAGCCTTTTTATGTAAACAGAAACCATCTACATTCTACAAAACATTGTAGCGACTAAGATGCCCATAACAAAAATAGCACCAATAACTGAATCCATAGTGATCATCCAAACTGCAAGAGCACAGCCACTAACTACAAATAAAAACCGGTTCCTCCTAATAAGCACCAAGGATGAAAACTAATTGCAGGTGAATTGAAGCAATATAACCTTCTTGTCTTTTCATTTTATCACACGAGATTATTAAACTTTAAGAGAATTATTGTAAATCTATGTTTTCTTTCAAACAAGCTCCATCAACATCTTCAAAAGGACAATCTTTTAATTAGCTTAATAACATCCTACCCTTATGTATCCAAGTTTTCTTGAAAATTTTGCAGGAATCCCCCAATCCTGGTTCAGTTTGAAGAATGTTCTGGACTATCAACAAAATCTCAAAGACTTTGGTAAAGCTCAGGCTTTCATCAAAATTTCCTTATGTCCCTTGACTGTCCCTTTCTTGTCACTTTCTACATAAAGTTTCACCATTCAAACAATTAATGGTCGATCTTGATTCTTAAAATTATACAGGCCTTCAACATGTAGCTTAGCCAATTGAGCACTATGTACTTGCATTTTTCACCAGATCATTCTTTAAGTAGTACACAAATTTTTACCCAGCAACAGTATTCTGATATCTTGTAAAGTTGCAATCAAATGATGACTTCACTTAGTGAAATAAATTTTGAGCTAGCAAACTTATAACTCTTTTCACCATCTTGCACCTATTATTGGAAATCACAAAAATCTTCACACTTGAGAGACTATAAATTATAATGATTCCAATAGATAAACAAATGCTTACAAACATGATGCATATAATAGAAATGCGTACTAATAGTAATTCCACCATGTCTGAACTTACCATTACCGTAAACGTTTTGACTATGATAAACAAATTATTGAAGAGACTTCTCACTGTCATAATTCTGTATTTTTTTTAAAACACCAGGAAATTATTCAACTTAAACACTCCTTGCAAATAGAGTAACAAACAGTTTACTAGAGAACATGGAAACGTTCATCCCTTTATAAATTTATGATGAGTAATAATTGTTGAAAGTAAGCAAGATCAAAGCATTGAAAGTAAATGATTCTTACAATTTGCTTCAACCATGACCCTTGGTCTGTAGACAAAAGGTACTCTAAGCTACATGTACAAAACCAAACTTGTAGCAGGATACGTTTGTCCCAGATCCCAGCAAGAAAAATCAGTTTCTGACAAGTCTTCCAAACTTCAACTAAACGGAGAAGCACCATTCCTGAGTTTGGATTGATTTTTCTTACTGGCAGCAGATGTTATGTGAAGGTAACCAAACAAAGTCTGTAGCAGAATGCATTAAAGGAAATAATGACTAAGCGATCTTAATTTCAATCTATAGATGTCTGACAAACTGCTTCTTTCTCATGTCAAGAAGTAAACCAAGTAAAAGACCTTAATGCATGTATCAAAACCTATCACACCAAAATCAAATACTAAAGACTTTTCCCAGTAATTAACAGTAAATACCCACTTTTCTCTTCTACAGTCTTCCTACAAAACCAAGGCATAAAAATTCTGTTGACAAGTTACTTAGCAGCCCTAAATAGGTATCAATGATGACTATTTATCTTACTACCTCAAGCTTGAATGGAGGGTGGAAATCACACAGGCTACTGAATCACTTATACTTCTTACTCTCCAGAAAACATCCAGTAAATCCCACCCATCCATTAGATAGTCAGGTAATTAATAGCCATAAACAACTTGCAATGACTCTTCTGCCTCATGATTATCTTAGTGCACTCCATAAGAACTGTAGTTTATTTGTTTTCATTCCAACCATTCAACACTCATAAGTCCTAAGCAATCAACTTGCTCAAAACAAGCAATTGAAAAGGGCTTGATTTCGATGATAATGGCAGACACTGTGATTCAGCACTTCTCTGCATACTTAATTTTCATCTTGACCTGTTATGGATCTTGTCCAAATGCATTCATATACTGGAACTCTATTCTTTCCTGCAACCCATTAAGCCACTGCCAAAAACCCTCAATGCTTCCTACATCTTTCCTGCAACCATCAAAGGAGGAAGTTTTATTCCTTAATCAACCACAAATAAAGTATATGATTTGCATGGCTAAAGTGACACATGAACGATAGCTTTCTCTGTCCATATTTGTCAATGTTTCTCCTCTGTACATGTAGACAGAAGAGGTTACTTTCCAGAACCCTCACAAAACCATTCATCTCTTACATCAGAATAGTAGGAATCTGCTTTTAATGCTATATTCCAATTGCACCTTAAATTAAGATGCAAAAAATGGCTTCAGAACAATTTCAGCCAAGCACCCACATTCTTTGTTTTCATAATTGTCAAACCTTTAACTTCAATATCTCCCTTGTACATTCAAAACACTGATTGTAAAAAAATTATCTAAGAAGGAAGAGACAATTAAGTCAACAGCCAAATCTTGAAGCCATGGTGAAGTAGCAGAATGGTCGCATGTTGCTCAGGTCATGGTTGGTAAACTTAGAAAAGAAGGTAAAGCACAATTATTAAAAAGTCAAACTAACTTGATAAGAATTTGCCACATGATGAATCTAATCATGTTGGAGATAGTAAAAAGCTTAATATTGAAGCAAATAATCTATTGTTTAAACAAGTGAACTTCTAGAAATTTACTCTTCACAACGCCATTGATCCTGATCAATATTACAGATTCATAAACAAAATAGACAAATAAATAAAAACATCACAGGTTAAATTGAGGCTGTTACTTGCACAAGGGGCAAGTCTTTGCAAGCTATTCTGCTTAAACTGGGTTCGCAAGAAGCTGCATAAAATATTCACAACAAGGAAGTTAAGGCCGCACGGTTTAAAACAATCAAAGCTTCACAAATGTTGTGCTTAATTCCACCACGGCAAACATGATGGCCAGAAGCAGTAGCCGGAAGTCAGTCAAATATAATTCTAACAACAAATATCTCCAAATGGGAAGTTGATGTTTAGCCTGTAATGCCCTTTTGTTTTGTTTTCCTGTTTGGTCTTTGGCCTTGTTTTTCTTATTGGATTCTTCAGTAACTTTCCTGATTGTGTCTTTTTGTTTTTTTTTCTTTTTTGGATTAACAAAACCCTATTTATTCAAATCAAACCTAATACCAAATTAAGGCATCAATTAACCCAATAATAAACCAGTTTCACCAAAACCCGCCAAAATTCCCAATTAAAAAAACCACACAAAACCCCAATCAACTAAAAACAAAAATAAAGTTTCAACCACTATTTTTTCCCCTAAATTCTAATTCCAGCAGCTAAAAATCAAAATTCATAAAATTCAACCCCAAATCACAACCAAATCAAATCTCAACTAAATTCCATGATCAAAAACAAAAATAAAAATCCTTAAATTAAAAAACTTGCAACGGAAGAGAAAAAAACCCACGGGAGACTTAACGACGATTGCTTCGGCTTCTTGATCGGCGATGCGGTAAGGCTCAGTTGAAGCAAAGCGGTGGTAGTCGCCTCCAGGAGCCATAAACGGCGGCTTCATAGAGAAAGGTAGCTGTCGTTTTAGTGGCTGTTGATTTTGCCGCTGTTGCATGGATTGCTTTAACTGCTCCGGAGCTTGAGAACCCGACATCACATAAAAACTTAAAATTTAACTAAAAAAAGGAAAAAGAATGAATTTTTGGGTTTTATTGGTTGTTTGAAGGAAAGAAAAGGAGGGAAAGTAACGGAATTGTGGGAAAAGGGAGTCTTTTGGTGGGAATTGAGGATAGATCTGGTGTTTGGGAAGAAGGAAAATGAAAAAAGCGGGAGAGAGAAAGTGAGCAGAAAACGAGGGAAAAATTAAAAAAAAAAAAAAAAAAAGCTGTGAAGGGAGGGAGTTTTGGTTCGGATAGAGCTGTGGAGGGAAGCATTTATAATTATTTAATATTATATTTTAATTATTTATAATAAAAAATTACATTTCACGACCTTTTAAAAAATACCATAAATATAAATTAAATTGTCTTGTTTTTATTTGAGGAATTCCCGCCATTTTAACAAAAGACAAAATTACAAGGGACCCATTTTTTGGATTAAAAATAGTTTGTTTTTTTTCCTCATTTTTATCTCATTAGAGATTTCAGGCGGTGAAAACTTTTTTTAACTGCAATGTTTTCAGAAAAAACGAACAGTAAAAAAAGTTAGGTTTTAGTTTGAGCTTGAGCCGTAGGATTTGGTGGCTGTTAAAAGAAAGGAAAGGGTAAATTAATTTTACTTAAATAGAAACAAAAGTCAAAAAAGGAAAGAAAATGAGGTTGAATCGGCGATTCGCGCCTTTTGTTGAAGGCAAATAAAGTGGCGATTATTTATCGCGCATTAGCTCTCCAACCGAAAGTCCGAAACCCTACCTGTCACTTTTCCCACGATTAGGCGCCACCTTGTTAGGCACTGTTTGGTCTGTTACCACTTTGGGCTGGACTTTTTTTTGGGTTGATTTTTTATCCAAACAACAACCAAGGCCCCTTTGGTCCTGAAATTGGGAGTGAATTGACATTCATGGAGTGTGAATGTAATTGGACTGAGCCCAGGGATTTGGACTTCATAGCTCATCTAAGCTTTTATAAAAGTAATCAGCAGCAGCAGCTCTCCTTTACAAGAAATGGTTGAACAGAAAAGCTCATGCTCTTACTTGATCACATATTGCTCCTGTTTTCCAAATTAGTCACCGAAAAATGACAATCTTTAAGGAAGCTATATTCATGAAAATTTTGAACGTTTTAAGCCTCTTCAGTTGCAAAACAAGAAGTGTATTTTTTTTATTAGCGAATATTATATAATTTGCAAATTTTCTAAGAAAAGAAAGATGTATAACTTAAAATAGTAAAAATTCAAACTGGACTCTATAATGAATCAATACTACCATATATAAAAAGGATCCTTGAAGATTTTGATGATGACACTTGTAAGTTTCTTTTTTTAAATGTTTTGCTTCGTGTGTTCACAAATGACTTCTATTTTATTTTGTGCTTGGAAAGTTCACAGGTGGCTTCTATTTTCTTTCGTATTTATTAGGTGTATTACACAAGTTTCTTTCAAAGTTTTTTTTGGGTTTCGTTTTATTTAGGATTAATGATGGTTTGAAAGAGACGAATGTTAGCGTGAAACCACTAACGGCAGGTGTTTTGTTTGTTGTTTTTTGTCTTTTATTTTATGTTTTTTTATGTGTTTTTGGGTCAAATTTTTGGGTTGCTTTTATTCTTTAATTGGATGTGAATTTTATTTTATTTTTTTTGAAAGGATTTTGGTATTACAGACTTCAATTCCATTTGATAGTGATGATTTATTGAATCGGGTTAGAGTTTTTTTTTTATTTTTTGCTTTAGTTTTTTTGGTTATTGAAGAAATTTTTTTCTTTTTATGGATTTCATTCAGGTGTTAACATTGAAACTAGAAAACAAACTGTTGTGAGGTTTGCATATTGCTGTTATTTTGATTTAAGGGTTATCTAGATTTAGGGATTGCATGTATACTCTATTGTGAGGTCTATATATTGATTTTTTTTTCTTAAATATTTGTCTAAAATATTTATTGCATGTTATATGGATGATAGTCTGCTGGGTTTTTTTATAGATTGGTTTGTGTTTTTGGTTAATTACTTTTTTTGTACAAGTATTGTTGAATGTTGTTCTAGATTTAGTTGAAAATTAATCAGTAGTGTAAATATTTAGTCTTTCATTCTGAATTTTAATTATTTTAGTTATTTCTTGAATTTTGTATGGTAAAACAGATTTGGATTTTCAATATAATCTCATGAAATTGGTAGGATTCATTTGGTTTTTGTTTTGTTTTGATCTATTTGTAATTTCTTTTTTATATGATTTATTTCAAATTCAATGTTTTTTTATATGGTTTATTTCAGATTAAATGGTCATGGTTGTACTCAAAGGTTTTATTGTGTGAAGAACATCAACGTCACAGCGTGCTGCATATTCTCAATTGAAGCAAGTAGTATATTATTATGAAGTTCTTGCTTTGGATTGCAAACTACATATCTGATATGTTATTTTTAATAGAAGTAAGTGATATATGGATATTGCATATCTGAGATTGCTTTGGATTAATAATTAAAAATTACAGCATATTAGTGATATCTAACATTAAAAACTAAGTCCAATGTTTATATATGAAAAGGCTACCTACATATGTCCCTCCATTATAGTGAGATTGACAAACAAGTATGGATTGGTATAGTCCCTCAAAAAGTATGCAAACAAATCTAAAACCATTTTATTTGACAGCAAAAGCAGATTATACCATAAATGGCTTTTCAAACTAACTACATAAGGCTTTCTTTTTATGGCCTTAAAAAACCTACATCTTTTGATATTAACATGTGGCTAACTTATGGTTATTCCCAAGGTTGACATGCTTGACATCTACTATTCGGTACTTAAGTCATATAAGAGTGTTGCATGGCATGCATTATAATGGTATGTATATCATATAGGCTTAGTTAATTGATTGGTTTGATATATTTGCAGTGGCTTTAAAGATCTTTTTTACTAGCAGCACTTCATCGAGACACTAAAGGATGATGTTCACATAGTTGAGACAATACGACCTGAATATATTGAAATTGAACCTTTAAACAAAACACTAATAACTAGGTCTAAGGTTAATATAAACTTTTCTTTGTCATTGCCAAATGTCTATATAGAAATAAGGAATGTGCCTACCGTTGAGAATGGTTGGTTTTCCTCTTGGCCTGAAATGGCAATCATTTGACCAGCCCATTCATATAACTGGACAAATGGTTTTGCTTTAGTCAATCTTATAAAATGTGATACTTATATGTTGTATTGCTGGTTCTATCTAAGATTAATAGTAACTAACTAACTTACACTTTTTCATTTAGGTTAGCTATTACAAGGTAGAGATCTTCCTGTTGTTGAAGCAACATAAGGTAGTTTATTTTACTCACACAGATTCTCAACTAAGTAATAATAGTATCCTAAAATTCATACAAAAGCTGAAATGTCAAGTAAATTATAAGGCACTAAAATATTCGACTCCAATTGAAGAACTTGAAAACACTTTGATTTTTAGAATGTGTTAGAATGGCAACGCTTATCTTGCTCTCCATTTAAGGCAAGTAAAATAAATTTATTTCTTATGCATTTCAAGACTACATTTCCCTTTATTATTATTTATTATTGTTGTTGTTGTTGTTGTTGTTGTTGTTGTTTTATCTTTTACTACAAGCTTATATTTTGAACTACCTTACATGTAATCGATATTTAGGTCATTTGATTGTGTGTGAATGGATGAAATTGTTAACATAATGGTAACAAGGGTTAAACCTCACAAACAGGTTTTTTCTCCTGTTTTTATGTCTTGGGGTTTATAGACAAAGTATTTATCGTGTTATTCAAATATATTGTAGTATAACAAACTCTTTTGCTAGAACATCATTCATCCTTCCCAATATAGAATATTCACAATTTGTGAGATTGCCTGATTACAAGGGTTCCTAGACTGCTATAAAAGACAAAAAAGCTAGAAGTGCTTTTTGTTGCCATTAACAATAATGATACCAATCATATTGTTCATGTTTTAATTGGTCCTAATGCTTTTCCTAATATGCCTATAAAGTTAGTTGTTTAGGTTGTTTTCTTTTCTTTGCATGTTACTGTTTTAATAAATTGTGATTTTATTACGGAAGTTGGATTTTTTTTGTACATGACAATACCCCATCTTTACTGGAGATGGAAAACGTGGATTTGGTTTTATAACTGTAGCAAAAGCAGTTATAGCTAATGGCATATCCAGTTTTGAGTTTGGTGTGAATCCCAACTTTGAACCTGAATTGCCCACACTATGTTATAGGAGTACAACTTTAAATTCTTACTCGGATGCATCGTCTCAGCTTAGTCAAATTGTAGGGATTTTGTGCAAAAAATATTAAAAAAATTTTGTCTATGAGTATAATCGTAATGGTTCCCTTAATAACTACCTTTTTTTTATTAAGTTAAAAGGAAATAATATTAAAATAAAATTTCAAATTTTATTAAAAAATGGCCTTTGGTGATCAAAGTTCTAAGATTCTGAGTCTGGATGCTAACTTCACTGACTATTTTCTTCAATTTGTAAGTATCTATACATGACATAGATTGGTCGAGGCCAACTGCAATTGTAGTTGAGATTAAAAATAGGTAACTTACATTATAAAATTTTTAATCATTTTTCTATCTTAGTTTTTTAGTTTTTTAGGTATATGATTAACATTAGAATTTAATTATCTTCTGATTTAAATTTCAATAGTTAGCAGATAGAAGAAGTTAACATAGATTGTGTAGATAAACATATCAAGTGTAAAGCATAACATAGAAATATAGTAAAGAGAAAGCATTAGGTCAAATAAAAAATCTAAGGAGAGTGATACCTTTGGTTAACAACTGAAGCATAACTTATCTTTGAAAATGGGTAGCCATGCTTTGCTCAAGCTAAAGATATCATACAACTTTGTAACATCTATGTATGATTTTTTAAGCCTGTTATATAGAGCTACAAGTCTCTGAAATAACTTATCTTAACAGCATAAAAAATATGTTTTTTTTTGTTGTAATTTCAACATTTTTTAGGTGCATTTTGTAAGGTTTCTATCTTGCTATAATGGTAGTTTATGGGAATTAAACATTAATTTTTAACGCTTTTTGTTCCTATGGTCCATTTTTAAAGGTGGAACAGGGAAAAAACACAGTAAAAGATTGTTAAGGAAAGGATAGAGCTACCCACCTTCCTTTTTAGTGAAGCACATCCTCCATTGAAAAGGGTAACTATTCAAAGCTTTAATTTATGTTTTTCATTTCTTTTCTCAAGTTTTAAGTCCAACATGTTATTGCATATTTGTGGTTGATTTCTTGATTGTAAGTTAGAATGTTAGGATGCCCTTTCATCCTAAATTTACATCATGAATGGATGTACATAATTCATTCCAAAATTATCTTTTTTGTTTGATGATTGACATGTCTGCCTTTGCTCATAACAAAACTTGAATGGGTGATCTTACTAACAATTTTTTTAAAGGGTTGTAAGAACAACGAGATTTTTTTTTTTAATGAATTGATTATTGATAATTGACTTTTTGCTATTTTAATTGCTACACAAAGATGCCAACAAGAGCTTTGAAAGTAAAGCAACATGAAGTTAGGAAATTAACTGACACAAGTGGTTCAAACCATTGCCATAGGAAAGAGTCTATCATAAAGATTTAAAGGTATGCATAACATGCCAATTTTTCTTTGTTATCACCAATGCACACAGACAAGTCATTTAAACTAATTAAGATTGGTATGTATATTTTCTATACAGCTAGAGAATTTGCTTTTAGATAGTAGCTAAATATAAGCCTTTCACAAAAATTTAAATGTCACATGATCAAAATTTATCAATTCTTTTTAAAGGACAAGTAATTAGAGGTTGTGAAATTTAATGTCACATATTTTTATTGATTTTACGACTACTTTAAGAAAGCTTTTAACTTTCTCTTAAATTATTACTTTACGTTAATTGCATAACTTACTCTAACTTCTAACTCAATCAAATATTAATTCAATAAAATAAAATAAATTAATATAAAAAATCGGAAGTTCCAATTATTAGTGACATATGAAAGAAGACAACCCATTTTGAATTTTATTTCAAAAAACAACATAATTTTTAAGAGTTAATATTTGATGTATTAATGTGTAAGTTTTATATATAAAAATTTATATTTGTCCATGTTACACCTAAGTTAACTAATTAATGCTCACAGCTCAAACCTGCTCTAAAGAGATGGCTTACCCTTCACCAAATAAAAGACTCGCACAAGGTCTCACCAATAACTTGTTAAGGCAATCACATCAAAACTGACCTATCAGCACCCAATTTGCCTAAAATTGTTAAATGCGGCTTTTGTCTATTTAGGATTATTAAATGCAATTCTCATATACTGACGTGGACCTTTCTTGAGCCCCACACGAATATCCTATCAACTGTCAACTATTTCAATCAAACCATCATCTTGATCTCAAGCACGGTGAAAAATCAAATAAGCAAAGTAACACAAGATGAGACCTAACACTCTTTAAACTTTCTCACTATTGAAGCTTCTGTCACACATTTCATCATCACCATCTTCCTTACTTCCTAAACCTACCTAGACATCATACTGAATTAAGCTTTGGAACGCGCCTCAAAATAACTCCAACAACTCCTAACCATGTTTTCTGACTACAGATCACAACTATTTTTTCCCTTCCACCTCACCTATTTCCTTCCGATTAAGGCATCAAAAATTATCGTAACAGTCCAACAATAATGTATCATCATTATTGATAATATATAAAATTTATATGCTAATGAAACATCAAATATAAATTCTTATTTTAGTTAGAGTGAGGACAAAGCAACATGAAGGCTAGTACAGGTTTAGAGCTTTTATCATGGCTGGTTGGGCTAGACGGTGACAATAAAATAACTTATCACGTCCCACTGTCCACAGTTTTATCACCATGTGCCCCGTCACATTCTCCTCATGGAATTCACAATATTATCCTGACAAACTCGCCTACACCATCAACATGGGCATTAAAACATTGTTCTTGGACAGTTTTCTTTAATCACAGTTGAGCCAAATTTAACACCCAAACCTACCTTATCAAACTTTTTCACTTATATTAAAGTAAGCTGATCTCTCAACTCCAAAAAGATCTTCACAAAAATATCTTCTTCTTTGCAGCCCAAAAAGCAAAAAAAGTAAACCATGTCTCCTCCCTATGTTCTCTGTTTGTTATCTTTTCTGCTCTGCATTTTCCCCACCATCTCCTCTGCTTTGTATTTACCACTCACACAATTTCATACCAACCCATCTCGAGATCCATTCCAGGCCCTCAACAACCTTGTCTTTTCCTCCTTAACAAGAGCCCATCACCTCAAAAACCCCAAAACAACAACCAAAATAGGTGCTTCCCCCACCACCACTCCACTCTTTTCTCACAGCTATGGAGGCTACTCCATTTCTCTCAGCTTTGGTACTCCTCCTCAAACCATCCCTTTCGTCATGGACACTGGCAGTGACTTCGTTTGGTTCCCTTGTACTAATCGCTATGTCTGCAAAAACTGCTCCTTTTCATCCTCTCCCAAAACGAATATCCCATCATTTATCCCTAAACAATCTTCTTCCTCCAAACTTGTTGGCTGCCAAAACCCAAAATGTTCTTGGATCCGCCACACGAACACAACCCAATGTGATGAATGTGAAAACAACTCCACTCCCCAAAACTGCACTCAAATCTGCCCTTCTTATCTTATCCTTTATGGCTCAGGAACCACGGGAGGCGTTGCATTATCTGAAACCCTGAATCTTGGAGATAGAACTGTGCCCGACTTCTTGGTCGGATGCTCCGTATTCTCTTCTCGCCAACCCGCTGGCATTGCCGGATTCGGCCGTGGCCTTCCTTCTTTACCTACGCAACTTAAGCTAGATAAATTCTCCTACTGTCTCATCTCTCGGCGTTTCGACGACTCTACCAGTAGCAGCACTTTGATACTTGATAGTAAGTCGGATTTTGATAAGAAAACGAATGGTTTAACCTACACACCCTTTCTCAAAAACCCAATTGTCCAAGGCAAAGAAGCCTTCAAAGTTTACTACTACATTGGTTTAAGGAAGATAACAGTAGGTGGCCACCACGTTAAGGTTCCCTACAAATATCTTTGGCCTGGAAATGATGGTGATGGTGGCACTGTAGTGGATTCTGGCTCAACTTTCACGTTCATGACACGTGAGATATTCGAACCTGTAGCTGAAGAATTTGTAAATCAAGTTAAGAATTATAGTAGAGCTCGTGATGTTGAGATTTTAACAGGGTTGAGGCCTTGTTTTGATGTAAAGGGTGGGTTGAGACCGGTGGAGTTTCCTGAGTTGAGGTTGCATCTTAAGGGAGGTGCTGAGGTAGCACTGCCGCTGGAGAATTATTTTGCGGTGGTTGGAGACGGGGCGGCATGTTTGATGGTGGTGACAGATGGCGATGTAGGTGGAGATGAGAATGAAGTGGGGCATAGTGGACCAGCAGTGATATTGGGTAGTTTTCAGACGCAGAATTACCATGTGGAGTATGATTTGAGAAATGAGAGGTTAGGATTAAAGCAACAATTATGTATAGAGTAAAAATCTATATATGTTTCAAAATGGTCTTCACTTTTCTTTTCCAATTTATGGAAGGAGTGGTTGACTTCTTAGAATTTGGTAAAGAATTGTTTGTTTCTCGAGAAAATTGGGGAAGGAAATTAGAGTTAGTATTTATCTATAGTTTTGTCTTTTATTTATTTTCATATCTCGATTATGTTGAGACTGTAGGATTCATTGCTACTTATTTCCCTAATTAACTTCTTCTTTTTAACTAGTAGCACTTTGATGTTGAAAAGGTGAAGATAGCTGGCTGGGCAACGGGTCACCATTGAGAGGGGCATAACACTTTTCATTCTAATACATGATTATGATATTTATATTTATCATCGTACACGTATCTTTCCAATAATATTTTTATATATTTATCTTCATGTTTTACAGATAACTCGAATTTCATCTAAATACTCTATTATAATTTAAAAATAATAATAGAACAATTTAAAAATTATATATCACAAATCTACTCTAAACAAATTCAATAAAATCTAAAAAAAAAATAATTTGATTTGATAAAGTGACATAAATTTTTTTAATAAATATATATTATTTTAATTATAAAAATATTATATGTATATATTAAATATCAAATATTTTGCGAACGTGAGTATAAAATTTTGTCTAAAGTAGATAATACCTGAATCGATTACCCAATTTTTCTAATCGAGTGTAAAATTTTCCCTATATTCATATTCATTCCGAGCGAGAAACGAATAATTTGTTAGGTATGAATGAAATTAGCATCTATATTTTTTATTGTTCAATGCAACCACTACAAGAACACTAATTGTTTGAGTCTTGAATTCTCCCCTTTTAACTTCCTTTTTTTTTCCTTTCTGGAGTGGGGCTGTTGAGGCTGTTGAGGCTGTTGGGGCGCAGAGTACTGTATTACTCTTGTGTTTTTCAAATTTCGTTTTTTTTTTAATTTATAAGGGATTAGTTTCACAAACTCTATTAATAATAATAAAAAAAAAAACTAGAGATTAAACCAGTGACGGATTCACTTTTAGTAAGAGAATGTTTATGAACATTCCTAAATATTAAAAAATAACAAAATTTAAAAGAAAAATTTTTATTGAACACCTCTAAAATTTCCTTTCGACACCCTCAAAGATGAAAAAAATTTTAAAAGATAATTTTTCCTTAACACCATAAAATTGATAAATTTATTAACAATTATATATATATATATATATATTATAAGTGGATATCCAAAAAAAAAAATCTGATCCGCCACTACATAGAACATAACTTCAGAAACTAGAGATTAACCATACAATTAATCCATATCCTGGAAAACAGGAATCACCTATAGAATAGAAGTCAATGGTTCAGGAGTCCACGTGGCCAATCAGATTTTGCATGAGCGCTACATAAAATCAATCAAAAGTTGAATGAAATATGAAACAGAAACATTCGAAGACTTGAAGTTAATATCCCTATCACAAATGTCACTATAAGAAAATAAAATATTAGTGACAGTTTTATAGTTACGTTTCACTTAAAATATCATTAGTTTTCATGTTTTTATAAAATTTAAGACGTTTATTATTAAAACGTTACTAAATATTCAAATAACGACATTATTACTTATAAATGTCACTCAAGACTTAATATTAACAGTGTTTCTAGACTAAAACACCTTGAATAATTCTGTTTTAAAAATTTAAGTGAATATTAAAGCTTTTTTTTTCAAAAAATGACTTGAATAATTTCGTTAAAAAATTGATAAAAAATTACTGAATGCATTTTTGGTAGGTAACACCTTCAATAATCCCCACATAAAAAAATGTATGCGATTATTGAAGGCATTTGCTACAAGAAACGCTTTTAATAATTCTACCAAAAAATTTTACAAGCTTATTGAAGGTATTTTTTTTGTCAAAAATGCCTTCAATAAATATCATATCAAAATTTAGGATCGTACGTATGTTAACCATAAGGTGGTAGGTTCAATCTCTCTCTTTAGCCTTTTTTGAGTTTTGACAGAGATTATTTATAATTGATTATTCTAGGCATTTTTTGGGCAAAAATACCTTTACCAATTGCTTTAAAAAAATTTGGAGAGAATATTGAAGACATTTTTGCAGAGAAATGCCCTTAATAATCCATACGATAAATATTGAACCGATTCTTGAAGGCCTTTTTGGCTGAACTTGCCTTCAATCATCCAATAAATAAATTTTAATTTGGATTATTAAAGGTGATTTTTGTCAAAAACACCTTCAATAATCCATACACAAAAGTTGAAACGGATTCTTGAAAGAGTTTTTGGCTCAAAACGCTTTAATATTCAAGCCAATAAATTTGAATGGTCAAATTATTGAATGCGGTTTTTTTCAAAAATGCCTTCAATAACATTTTGTTAGGGATTATTCAAGACATTTTCAACAGAAAAACGCCTTTAATAATCCATACGAAAAATATGAAACGGATTATTGAAGGCGTTTTTACCGAAAGGCACTTCAATAATCTATTCAATTAATTTTTAGTTGGTATTATTAAAGGCGATTTTTTTAAAACACCTTCAATAATTCATATAAAAAAGTTTGAATGGATTTTTGAAGGTGTTTTTTTCCTAAAACACCTTTAATATTCCACACAATAAATTTTTAGGTGAGATTATTAAAGACGATTTTGGTTAAAAATATCTTCAATAACATTTTGTTATGGATGATTCAAGGCGTTTTCTTGCTAAAAATACCTTCATTAATCCCATTAAAAAAATATTTTTGACATTGTATATGTCAAGTCAGTTGTAAGGTTTATGCCCAAAAAACATTTGAAGTCAATTGTATATTTATGCCCAAAAAATATTTGGTTTATATATATGATACTTCGAATTACATTTTGGAATTTACATAGTGAACATTGTTGTATTTCAATAAATTGACCACACATTTGAATTTAAAATTGATAATGTTGTCATATTAATATACTTTTTTGAAATAATTGTACTCAATAATATATTAAGTACACATAGTGTATTCATATTAAGTATACCAATAATATTAAACCAATACCCCAATCTATAAACTTAAATTTTCCATTCAACATGGCATGTTAAAAATACTATAATAATTTGTTCCTCATATATTTACATTCAACCAATAATGTCTAACCTCAAGATTTATCAACATTGATAAATGATAATACATACTCACACCATTCTTTACGAACTTCATCTAGTTCCTCTATCGAGAAGCTTTATTTACCCTCTCACTAAAAAAAATTAGAAGTAAATGTTAATAAATGAGAACATAATTTAGCTTTTTATTTTTTTGAAGATATAACGAGTTTATGAAATTTATACTAACCTTGAATGGTGTAGTCATAAAATCATATAAAACTATCTCTTGCATAAAATGAAAGATGTAATATCTACATTCAGTATTACTAGATTGACAAGGTACCTAAAAATTAAATTGAATGGGTTTAGGAAACATTTATTTATGCAAACTCAACATAAAAGAATAAATTTCACATTTACCGATAATGATACCTATTTCGATTTATTTATCTTCTTAACAAATGCAGATATTACCTTATATTGAAAAGAAAAAAATTACTTAATATATAAATAAAATTACTTATGAAGAAACAAAAGATATGTAATACAATAAAGTATAATAAATCTTTATAAAAGTTTGAATATCGGAGTTAGGCATCACCGTTGGATTAATCGAATTAAGTAAGTATGGCATTAAGGATTTGGTGTCAATCACAATAAGCACCAAATGACAACTGCAAAATAATAATAATAATATACTTAGATTACACATTAGATCAGATTTGGATAAGGTTGGAATATAATTTACTGCGCATTATACATTACCAAATAATAATCGACCGATCTTTCATGCATTCAACCATATGATTAGCACAATAAGTGATTGTGCCACTTTGCTCACTAATGAAATTGGGGTCAATGAATCTAAATATGTTGGTCAACTATCTCTTAGTGATCTCTCTATATAAAAAGCTGCACGATAACAATCAATAATACTAGTTAATATTATACCGTAATATAGATTAATACATATTGAATGTGCATGTTTGTATTTATAAGCTAACCTCATATAAGCAATAATATCAACAGCTGATAATTCATTCAGTTTACAAAATTCTTTAACCTCATTCACACTAATGAAAAAAAATGATGGTTTATCAAATAACCCTTCCTCAGACTCAATGATTATGAAGTTTTCTCCTGATAAATGCTCTAGCAAATAATTAGCAAACTCATTTATGGTAGCCTGAGCAAGGGTCATACTCTGAGTCCCAACATTTTGCTACAATATTTAATGAAATATAAGTATTAAAACTAAATCAATAAATATAATAAATAAATTAATATTAAACTTATAAACAAACTCATATTTCATAGGTGGTAGCGGAGGATGGGTTCGCTGCCTGACTTGCCAACAAAAGCTTGTCCTATGTGGATGATGCTATCAGATTGGCCTACTGACATGCTATGCTGTATTACTGCCAACATGACCTCCAAAGTAGTGAGTCTTTGTTGTTGCTTATTGAGGCATTACTCCTGGTCATCAATTCGTTATTGTTGTTGCTCAATGATTGTTTTATATTATGCATTTCTCATTCACAAAGCTTTGGGTTGATTACTAAAAAACTTTGATGGCAAGACAAATTTACCAACCCCATGAACCCAACCAAGCCTTTCTTAAGTGCCTAATGCTAAAGATAATGGATCTTCACCATATTGGATTGCCAGTTCACCAGATTTGACTTTGACAGCATAATCATCTTGAAAAACAATAATAAGATAGGTTGTAACAACAAATTTATACAAGCTAGTATACAGTCATGCATACAATCACAATGCCAATCATACATGATATTAAAAAAATAATTATACATACAATCTTTTTTATCATTTCTTCGGTTACTTTATCTGCAAAGGATCCATTCTTTCGTAAATGTCCTTGTTTTCAGACATTTCATCTGAAAACTTCGATGCCAGAACTCGTTAATTCCTATTAAATTACTATAATATAAGAATCATAATGTATGAAATAAATGTTCAAAAATGTTTATTAATGAGTGTAAAACAAGTGTGTGAAT